ATTTGGGGGCACTGTATCTTGTCACTTCACTTTAATTCAATTGATATTGGCCCAAATGACAACAGGAGGTTTATATTGTAAGTTAAAGAACCTACAATAATACAGAGAAAACCCCAACAATCAAACAACTCCAGTGACTTGGCATGCAGTTGGCAACAATGGGAAGAAAAAACAGGAAGAAACCTCTGGAAAAACCAGGGAGAGGCTGTGTAGGGGGGTAAGGGAGCTGAGACAGGACAAAAGACACACTATGAAATCTTTGCAAAACCACGTGTCTTTACCTTAATTGGCTCCAACAGTAGAAATGAGCAGAAGAAACTAGCAAAGCAGGAGATTAACCACATCATGGCAACATTCTGACTGAACCCATAGCCGGCCCAAACTGAAACACCATTGGCCAGAGCGATTCCTGCCCAGCTGCCCCACATGGCAGCACGTCCACACCAAGGTGGAAACCGTCTTGGACGACACACATCTGTTACAACTGTGAAAAGAAGAATAAGGTGCCAAAGACAAAACAAATACAAATCATCAGCCACTGAAAACATAGAAATAAAGAGAATTTAGGGAGTATTTAAGCGCAAAACTATTTAACTGAAAAAAAAATGAGCATTTTAATGATCCTTTTAGACTCTTTGAAGGTTATTTCGCACTTTACAAAAGAAAGCTGAGTCCTTGAAGACTTTGAGTCTTCAAGGACTTTTCGATTAGTAACGTAATTAGTAAATATATCAAGTTTCCAGAGGAAGAATAAATGACGTTGTAAGTTTGGTGCCTTTTCAATTTACCTTTTCTATCGCAACCAAGGACATGTGTCAACATTTAGACTGCAAAATGAAAGCACAATGCACATATGCTGGTTTCGCATCAAAGCACAATTATAAAGGCTCAGTCACACATCTGGCAGTACAAGACTAATTACTCTGTGAAAGTAACAGCCTTTTTTCTTTTTAAGAGTAATCACCAAACTTTGCTTTACCTAATGAGAGTTATAAGCCTTCTAAAACCCTTGGCTAGGTGATTTATGTGTCCTCGCTCACTAATCTAAACAAAGAGACAGCAGGACACTTTAAAAATAGAAAATCTATGGGGGCAAATAACATCTGGATGGTCTTTTAAAGGGACAGTTCAAATCAAATCTGCATATTTTTGCCCTGGGCTGTAGTACTATTTATTATAAAAGTCTGCCTTCTCTTAATTTCTATTTTACAAGTCAGTGTTTGACAAATAAAATATTTAATTTTGAGAATAATTTTCTGAATAAACTATGAATCTTTAAAATGTGGTGAGACTGTTTAGTGCATTCCTAATTGTAATTCTAAGTTTAATCAGTACAGGCCTCAAATTTTGAATTTTACTAGATAATTCAAACTGCCTGCACACACACCTGTGTTTGAGGTGAAGGCTGTCTTTGGCGGGTCCCGCCTCACAGATTCCAGAAGAAGAGGGTCATTCAGCTTTGTCAGGAGAATCACTTCAGTCTTATCTTCAAAAATGCTCGACCTGCAACACAAACAGTGGCAACACAAAATCAAGTGAATCTACGCAGGTCTCAAATGATTCTGGGGAATTTCTTGTCCAGAATATAACTTACAGGTCAGCCATCTCGCTTTCATCTGCCTGAGGAAAGAAGTTCTGTCCGTCTGCCAGTATGTGCTTGATCAGATCTTCATCTATAAGAAGACAGTGTGAAACTGGATTATCATATACATTCATTAAATTCATTCACTAAATGAACTCGCTGCCATGTCTTTCTGGGGTTTCTGAAATGTAACGTGTTAACTTTTCTCAGTTATTAATATGGTCATAACCGATCCGACTACTCAGCTATGACAGAAAACCGCTACTGAAGATGCGCTCTATGATTACAGACACAATTTGTGTAATTCTGCCTCTCTGCTCTCTTGTGATTGAAGTGACTTTAATCTTTAATTCAAGGGGCTTTAAAGAAGATTTGCATGAACTATT